GGGTGGAATCCCTGCAAATTCATTTATCATATTATTATCTACAGGCTAATTATTAAAAAAATCAGTTGACTGTTTGATTCAAACTTTTTTCCCCCAAGAATATAAGATAAACTAGCTACTCCAATGGGGACAGGGAAGAACCCAGAAAATTTTATATGTAGGTGCAGTATTTCCTCTTTCATAGATTTTGTGAAGCTAAACTGTCCTCCAAATGTTCTCCAGTGTAGCCACTAATTGTTCAGAGACTGCTTCAGCTATTTCACCCAATGTTGAAGAGATAATTTAATAAACTCCATCTTATTCTAAAACACCCATTATCCTATCTCATTAGCTCATAATCTTAGCTGTTCTTTTCCTGCTCTAGCTGGAATTCTTAACTTTCTCAAGGTCACAGTTCTTTTCCTGACACTTGACTACAGATAACCATTTTAGACAAAGAATGATACAAAAAATTACATTAACTATTCAATCATCTCCGCACCATCAGATCATGGACTTTTTAACTGACATTTTGTAATTCCCTGTCAACTAGTAGCCCAGAAACTCAGTCTTCCTCTTATTACTACAGAGAATGTAGTATGTTTCTCTATTACCATGCCCTTTATTAGTTGTACCTCGTTCTGTGAACTGGCCTACTTGATTTGACCCTCACATTTTTCTCATCTTCTTTTACACTCATCTCCAGTAATAGATCGAGTTTCCACCTTCTGTATGAGTCCTCAATTATCAGATCATACAATTTTGTCTCTTCTTACCCTTTTTACTGGAATGCCTTTCATTTGGGATTTTTATACCCTTTATTATGATTGAGAAAAAAAAAAAAAAGTTATTTCCTTTGAAAATTGCCAGAATTTCTCAGGTTTGTATCCCAAGAAATGTTACCTATCAGTTCTATGAGCTCAGTGCAATCTACTTTCTTGCATACTATTGTTTTTATTCTCAAATTCTTTCTTCTCACCTTCTGAAGAATGACAGGCTCACTCTTTCCTGATTGCTCAAATTGCATTTTACCATCATAGGCTCAACCATCTCTTTTCTAATCAAGCCTAGGAGCACTTCCCCTCCACTGCTCTTTCTACATTCTATGATCCTGAACCTATTATACTCATGTGATCTACTGAACACAGTATTTAGCCTGAAAAGTGAAAATATTCTAAACATTTGCTAATGTTTGGTAATACATGATAAAATGACTGGGTGAGCCCATCTCTTGGGACAAGAGCCATCTGCAAAAAAGGGAATCTTAGGCATCAGTGCCAGTACAATGAGCATACAGACAGGACCAAAATATCTCCTAGCCATACCTGTAAACCTTTCCACGTCACAGCAATTAGCAAAGTGGAAAAGAGATTTAGGAAACACTCTAACCATGGCTACACAGAGGCAATGTCCTCTCAGGCTTCTTTTGCCAGCACTCTGTTCAGCTGTAAGTTGAAATGATTACTCCAGTAGTTGCAATAGCTGCAATCACTTATGTGCAATCACACACATGTCTAGATTCAGTGTTGACACCACAGAGGCTTCAGATATCAAAGCTTTTTTGTACAAATTAACTCCCTTCTCATGTGGCCATGCCCCCCTTTGCTGCTCATAGATATTGTTCTCTCCTACAGCTACACTGGCACTCCAACAAAACAAAAGGAGCACTACAGCAAGGATCAGAGGAGTGACCATATGTACCTGCCATTACATTTTTATTGCAACTCTTAAATTAAATTAGCCTAACACAGGTCCAGTGGATTTCTCTGAGAAATACATACCTACCTGCTGTTTATTATTGCTGAGTACATCATATAAATCTAACAAGAAAAAAGAAAGATCTCCAAAAAGCAAATACAGATATCAGTTTGATACAAGTTGGAAGTTTTCTCCTCATACAAAGAAAATATAATTCATCCTGTTTCTTTAACAAGTCTCCTGAACGTATGGTGCACGTTAATGTTTAATAATTCTTTAGTACAGCTGCCAAGTTTTGAATATGTTTATTAACATCTTTACTTAAGGGCAATTCCAAATGAATGTAAGAATTTCTTACAGGAGACCAAGCAACCTTCATGCCATTAAGTAAGTCTCCAGAATAAGTCTGAATCTGCTGGGTTACCACCACAGTCTGACTGCTGTCCTGGGCTTCCAGGGAACTCTGTTTCATCTCTCTGAATTTTATGCAGCTCTGCTTGCCAGGTCTTTTACATCCAGGAGCAGTCATGAGGTTACCAGCTTTCCAACACAGCCCTGCCCAAGCACCCTGGTCACAGTGCCAACTGTGCTGGGAGCTAGGGGATAGCAGACAGAGTGGCAGAAAAGTGTAAAACTGGATAGAAAATAATACAGTAATGCAAGGGTGTTGGAAGTAATAGGGTTTCTAGCAAAGGACAGAGCCAGGTTAAGGAAGAGAGCAGATATCCTCACAGTTGGGAATTTTGGTAGAAAGCAGAAGAGTGACAAAAACTCCTAGGAAAGAGCTGAGGACTGGCAGAGAACAGCAAGGACAAACAGGACAAGAACAGCAGAGGGGAGTTTTAGGAGTGTGCTACTGGCTAGACAGAGGCAGGAGAGCCCTGCGGCTGTCCCAGACTTCACATCTCTCATCAGCACTGGAGCACATGTGGAGGAGAGCTTCCTGTTTCCTCTCCTCCAGGACACGACTCACCGACACGCACAGAAACCAGGCTGTAAATCAAAGCAAGGCAGCAGAGACAGTTCAGAGCTGCTCCACCACTCCAAACTGCTGTGCTGGTGCAGCTGGACACAGAATCACACCCTGCTGCAGCCAGAATTCCTTCTAAAGGCAAATATTTTATATTAGAAAAATAAATGTCTTGCACATCACTAGTTTACCCTATGGTACTAATCCATTATCTAGACCTACTAAAACAAGAGTAATATCTAGCTGATTTTCTATGCTTTTTTTTTTGCTGCATCTCAGCTGGCTGGCAGACATGGAAAGAAAGCAGCAGGATCTGCTCATCCTCTTTTCCTCCTCCCGCCTCGCAAATCTGAGACCATCCCATACAGGGAAAGCACTATATGAACTCCAGCAGACTTTACACTAGAGGGAGCTTTTCTCAGAAAGTCACACCACCGTGGCATCCTTTTTCTCCTTACATTATTTTCACTCCATCTACAGAGAAATACACCAGACTGAGGTGAAAGAGTTACCATTTAAACTCTCCAGTGTAGCCAGTTCAAGCATTGCAGCAGGTCAGTGATGTGGAGGGGGGAGTACAAAGAGAGGGCACCTGACAAGTTCTGCCCAGAGATGTGCTCTGACAGACAAGATAAGGCTCAACACTTGCCATGTTGAGGCCATGAGAAGCCTCCTGACATGAACCATATCCATCCTGCAGCCTCATCAAACTCCTGTGTTGAGCACACAAGCAACTTTACAGACTACATTTTATACTGACCCAAGAGACCACTCATGGTTAAGTTGTTAACGAGTATTTTAACGAGGAAAGCTGAGATAAACCTTCCCCAAGGCTCGTGGCCATCCCTTACTGAAGGCTGAAACATGGATAACTGTGTTCCTCACTGCTAATGCAAGTTATTCAAGGAAATTGTTTTAAAATACTATTTAAACTGAAAGTTTAAATATGCAAGATGCTAATGACAGTCAGGACCTACTCATTTTCTAAACTCCAGTAAATTGTCCCAAGAATATGAGCAGAACTGGAACAGAAATCCTTACCTGTGAAAGCATTTGTGGCCTGAAAACCAGCTTCCTGCATACTGCTCTTCCAGAGAAGCTTGAGATTCCCGTCTCAACCTGTCCTTACTGGAGACAACTGCTGAGCTTGCTGCTGTCAAGTCACTTCCATCTTAGCTCATCAGAGTCCATTTCTCTTTCCATTCCTGTATTTGGCACCATCCAGTTCCCACCTGTTCCCAAGTCTTTCGATGTGTAAGCAGAAGGGATCTGCACTGAACCTAAGCAGAAGTGTTGGACAGTCCCATCAACCAGCCAGCCAGAGGATCTGTGCCATGATGAATGTGAAAATGAAGCAAATCGCCTGTCCAGACTTCCCTTCCCTTTTACAATTAAGTTCTAATCCTGTGTTCATCCAGCACCATTTTTTTCAGGTCTCGGCCAATGGTGATGCTCAATTGTCTCTCCTCTCTTGTGTTCCTCTCCCCTCAGGCACGCTCACTGAGAAATTAAAAAAGAAGAGATTATGTTTCCTGATGACCTGTAGCAACACTAAAATTAACAGACTCCAGGGAACAAAAACCCAAAATACATTATCAGGGATTGATTGTACACATTAAAGGAGATCTTCAGAAGGCAAATCTTGCGATTTTGCTGAGATGCAAAGTGTGACCACACAGCTCTTTGAAGTGCAAAGAGGAACAGTGCTGAGGGTGTCATATGCATCTCTGAGAACATGATATGATTTACATTTCAAAAGCCATATTTAGCAGAGATGGGGGCAGCAATACAATAACAAAATTGCAGTTAAAAGAGAAAAGGAAAAATACTCAAGGCTCTCAAGTCTGGTCTATTCAAAACCACAGTGAAATTATTAGCATTTCATATAGCTGCTTCCCTCCTTTTCTGGAGCAGGAAAAGAGCAAGCTGTGTGCCAACATTATATATGCCATTCTTACAGTCTTCTGTGGTTAAAAACCTGTGCATTTCTTCCTGTTGATTACCAAACTTTGTATGTCTTGCTGTCGATTATCTTTTAAAAATCTCAATTGTAACACAGATGACGCAATTCAGATACCTTCAGACAGTCAGCGAGGTTAAGAACACCCACAAACTACACAGCAGAAAGATGGTTACATTTTTCTTGATACTGCTACTCCTATACAGCATGGATATTTGCATCCCACTGAAAACTACAGTTTGTTCCATGTCCAGCTTTTAAAAACTAGAATACAATTACTTTAATGGGGTGAAGGCGAGCAGCAGACAGGCATGTGTTTAAGGAGAAGATTATTTTAGAAATCAAGGAAGAAAGAAAAGAGGACTTGGAGGAGAACCCACTCACTCCCCAGCCATCCTGTTCCTCATGTAATGATGCTTGGCTCACTATCTCCCAGCTCAGTGGCACAGGCAGGTTGAAAATATGTCTGTGATGATCTTATGACTTACTAATGGATTTGAGATGAGGAGTCTAGCCAGGGTTTGCAGTACTAGATTGGACCCAAGGTCCAATGGGCTGGAGCAGCCCATGCCAGAGTATGGCAATCCCAGCAGCCGCTGCTTTTCAGAACAGTGCAAGAGCCAGCTAAGAGAGCAGATGGAAATAACGCACTGCTCGCTCCCCAGCCCCGCTTCACCCTTCACCCTGACCTGCAAGGTCTAGAGATGAGCTCATATCTGAAGCACAAGTCTGAATACTCCAGAGAGTCCAAAACTGCAGAGATTCTCGTGCCCCTTCAGGTACAGTCAGCCAGGCCTTGAGGGCTTCATTTGGGACCCACGTTGGGTGAGGGACAAAAAGGATCTCTGCTCAAGTATGCCACTGAAACCTGAGTGAGCCTGACACCTGATGAATGTCATTTTCCTTGCAACACAGTGAATGAAAGCTAGCTGCTAGCAAAGATGAATCTTAATGGTATTGCTTTTTTCCCCTGATTTTGTTATGCCTCTATTACTGAAGAACACATGCTTTTGTCTCAACACACAGCACAGGAATGACTGATTAGTTACTTGTATTCAAATCTAGTCATTTGCATTCAGATCAAATAAGGTTACAGAACAAATTTAAAATGTTTTCCCCATTTCTTACCCAAACATCTCAACGTAATAGAGAAGAAAGTGGAAATTAAAAGGGAGAAAGGAAAAAAAAATTATGTGTAGTATCTTTTATCAGAAAACACTGCATAAAAAAATTTAGAATAGTGTTTAAAAAGCCATTATTCCTGAATATTATATAGGTCCTTGAGATACTTTTTCAACCCTTTGAAGTGTTCTATGCAACTAATAACAATTTCATATGAGGCTATTTTATTCTAAAATATATACAGCTAAGCAAGTATAATATACATACACAGCAGCATACAGTTCTTTTGGGTCTCAACACTGTGCTAATTATTCTATAATGACTATAGGTGGATGTTGCACTCATTTCCCAAGATTTTTCTCTAGAGGCCTGAGTTTCCTCTACATTTATAAGAGGAGGTCCACATTTGCATTTACATTTTCAGTCTTATAACTTTTGATTTTGGTTTATAAATCCAAAATTTTGATGCTTTTATTTTCGACATTTTCATTTCACATCTTAGAGATGCTCAAGAGATGTGCAGTAATATGTTAGCATCCAGGGAAATTCTCCTATTTTTATTTCTATATATTACATATAACAAACTCCTAATTCTTAAAAGAATGAAGTATTTTCACTTAACTGAAAATTAATATTTTATTAAAAGAATAATTATTCTCCACATCTTCAACAGTTCTGCTGAACTAGTTAAGAACCCAGTAGTGCTGAAGAAATGCGACAACACAGGCACTTTCAGTAACCACTGCTTCTTCTGATAGAAAGATGTCATTTTAACAACATTACAAGACACTGAAACATTCAGAGAGTTAATTCAGACCTTAATATTTAAAGGATAGTGCACTGCATCGGGTTTATGTTCTTCCTTAAGGACTCATACAAAAGTAGATGCTGGTATCTCTTGATTGCCCTAAGTGAGCGTTTTCTGTCACTGCAAAAATGCTCTTCTCCCATGCCTGATAATCGACTCAGAGGTGGCTGGCAGGAGGGAAGGAACTGGAGCAGGCTCTGGGGGCAAGCCTGTGCAGTGCTCAGCACTTGCTGGGCCTTGTCACAATTCCAAACCAAGTTCAGTACTTATAAAATGCTTCCCCTTACAGCTGCCTAGGCTATTTGATGATCCTTTTCATTAGCAGACTTTAATCAGTCACATTTGTGTGATTTCAGGTTTCTCAGATTACAAATGCATCCAGGTAAAGATGATAAAGCAGCCCAAATAATATCACAGCAAATAAGGAACACTGAAAATTCCACTTAAAACAGCATCTAGATCTACAACCTTTCTCTTGTATTTCACATTATCCAGAAATTTTCCACTAAATCTGAGCTTATGTTTAAAGGGAGGAGGTTTGTGTTTGTTTCCCAACACACTGGCATGTTTGCATGCATGGAAAGGGTCAGGACCTCTGCTGACACACTGCAGTATGCCTCAGCCAGTTCCAGTGAAGCCATGTGTTTATCCTTTTGTACCAGCATGGTGCAGAAATGCTGAACCAACCTGCTTAAACACTCCAAAAGTGAAAATACATATCAAAAAAAAGAGAGAATAAGCAATACTGATAGAATTATAATAGGGTGTGATCTTTGATGTAATTTTTTTCACAGCCTGCAGAGATCCCAATGGGAACTGATTAGATGGCAAGAGAAAATATGGACTAGAAAGACTAAAGATTTTCTCTTTGCTCCATCTGTTGCCTCCTTTCCAATAGCAACAAGAACTCCACTTCCACTACTGCTTTCATTCATCCAGTGCAGTGTTATGAGTCTCAGAAGCAAACCACAGCAAGCCATTGTGCTGTATAAATACGTAGCTGTGCTATAAGGATTTTTGGCTGCTATGCACTTACACAGTGGAGTATCTAGAAGAAAAATCAAATCCATTTGTTTTCATCTTCTTCACTTTTTTCAGATTTGGTCCTGAGAAAGACACCACCATCTGAACCTCAGATGAATTGCAAACAGAAAGTATTTTAACTATTTAACACCTTATGTGACTTACACGTTCTCATGGTATATTTAGCTAGTAAACCTGTTATTTCCCTTTTCTAAACATTCAAAGATGTAAAAGGGTCAAAGGTTAAAAAGGAATCTGAGGGAGAAAAGTAAGCAAAGAAAATAATTAAATCTGCATTAGAATCTACATTTTATGAAGTATTATATGCAGCCAGGACAAGACTGAAGGAACTTGCTCTGAAAGAAGAAGTGAAATACTACTTTTTCCAAGACTGATATTTCTGTAACGTCTTGAAAAACTCAAAAGCACTGGCTGACATGTAAATGCTGCAAATTGCTTTTTTTTTTGTGTGGAGAGGGGACTTTTTCCATTTCCTTTCACTATATAAAGTCTACTTCTCTGGCCCATGCTTTGGATCCCACACGGGCTTTAGGAACTCACTCAGTGTGTTGCCAGAAGAGCTACGGCCATGGGAAGCATTTCCTGTGATAGCCCTCGGCATCCTTTGGAACGCTAAAGAACAGCATTGCACTAAGGTGTATAACACATTTCCTAACAGGAATATCTGTACAGGAAGCCCACGCATTCACATTTTTAAGAAAGTTACTGAACAGCTTGTGAGCTGTGCTTTCAATTAAGACTCATGCTTGGATTTCTTGCTTTCAGGTGAACGAGTGTAAAAGGGCAGAGAGCTGGAGCTCCCCTGCCCTTCTCTCACTGTGGTCCCTGCAGAAGGAAGGTGCTGAGAGGGGCAGAGCCCAGCAGGAGCGCGGATGCTGCCGGCACCGACCCGCTCCGTGGATGAAAGGAGGACAGAAGCACGGCGGGCTGAGCTGGCAGCATGACTCCAGCTCAACGGGAGATTCGAGCACATCTCCAAGGAAAAAAATCTTCTGACTGAAACCCACACAAGTACTGAACTATCCACACACTTAAACACTTTGCTGAAGTAAGGCCTATACTTCCCATAGGTTAAGGCAGCACAGACTTGGATATTTCTCCAAGAAGTTTCTGTCTAGAAAAACACTTCCAACATTTTGTTCTTATTGAACTGGGCTTGTCAAAATATCTTTTAAGGTTTGCTAAAGCCACTGAAAATGAGGCTCTTGTGCACACATATAGTTGACCTCTCCAGCTCCTTTTGTATTTACCAAGTTTTCCAGGCTGTGGTTTTGCTTCTCATAAAGATTCTAAACTAAACAAATTAATGCTGACCAATTATACCTAATCTTTTCCAGTGGTAAGCCCTGCATTTTACTGTGTGATCCTCATTTATTTTATTTTATTTACTTCTAGCTATAATTTGTCCTCCTTCCAAGACAGCATTGCACCAGTGCTAAGTAATACTGCTTCTTGAGAAATAGTGTGCTCCATAACTCAAATACCACTTAAAAAATTCAAGGCGACTTTCACAGGAGACCATACACAAATCAAGCAGAAAAGCAGAAGTTCAAAATATGTTTATCT